ATAAAAAATATATTATATACTTTTTTAAATAAGGAAAAAGATTTAACAATTGCATGACGTTAATCTTTCATGAGTCTTCAAAAAATATGTTAGGCAAAAGAAAAAAAATACAAATACACAAAACAATTTATAACTCTAGATTTTTACACTGAATAAGCATACAATGGATTCTGTAAACATTGGAAAGTTAGAAAGAGTGTATTTGATCTTACGTTCGGGTATTTGTTTAAGCAATTATTTATCAATATAAGAATTAAGATTGAAAATACATAATATACTGAGACCAACATTTTTTTAATAAATATATCTGAATTTATGAAATTGTGTTTTAAAATTAAAAATTATTATGAAATGCGGTTCCTTCAACCAACATACGTAATAAATCTCAAGACTTTAAACCGTTTTTGCTACTAAATAAATTTTTGTTGCCTATAATTCAGAATTTTATCAGTGTTTCGGGATTTTTTGCTTAAAATTGTTTAAGCATGGGTCCCTTTTCAAAAGTCTCCCAACTACTACCTCGCAAGGTATTCTTGTTGGCATGCGTTTATATGCTTTTTTGACCTCGTGTGACTCAATTTTATTAATGAAATCTTTTGTATCTCGAATGTAAAAGTTAAGCCTCTTCAATAATGGTTTTATAATTCGATCAAGAAATCTCTCAATGCGTCTCGTGGGAGAGTTACACTTATTGATAATTGGTCGGTAAGGCACATTTAATGTCTCCTACTATCTGACCAGTTCGCAATGCCTCATTAATTATGTCTAGATTTATTTAATGAATTTTTGAAAGAAGGTACATGTGTCCATGTTTTGAATCATTGTCATTCTTTAAAAATACGTCTGAGAATCCATTTCTTTTTATGCCCCCTACGTAGCGGTGGGGGGCATTACGTTTTACCCTTAACTGAGTTGGTTTCCGTTCTCTAACTTAAGTTTGCCTCAAACAAATGTTATGAAAGTTATACACAATGCTTATTACCACAAAATACAGATCAAGTTTGAAATTGGTGGCGTCACTTTAACCGTTCTAGAGTTATGCCCCTTTTCAAATGAAAATTGCTGATTTTTTCATTTCCGTTCTCTAACTTTAGTTTTCCTCAACCAAATGGTATGAGACTAAAACACAATGCTTATTACCACAAAACACAGATCAAGTTCGAATTTTGGTTGTGTAACGTTTACTGTTCTAGAGTTATGCCCCTTTACAAACATAAAAGTTTCCATTCTCTTACTTAAGTTTGCCTCAACCATATATTATGAAACTTATATACAATACCTATTACCACAAAAGTCAGTTCAACTACAAATTTGGGTAGTGACATTTTTACCGTTCTTCAGTTATGTCCCTTTAAAAATTTATATGATATGCATGCAGGGGCATCATGTGTGTCCCATGGACACATTCCCTTTATATTTTCATCTTACTTTATAATTAACACCACTCTCATATTGTCGTGATTTACAATAATTTAAAAAGAAAATATCATCTTCCACACACATGGCCATGAAAGCACTGAGATATAATTTTTAATTTAGTTGAATTAATAAATAGCATAAAAAAGTTCTATGGTTCACGTATTGTCTTTTTTTTTTTAAAAAGCAACTTGTTTAAACTTCAGATAATTAAGACCAAGAGAGGGAGACTTCTAGTCGAGATTGCAATGTTCTGAAAGCAAGGATTTGAAGTTATTTTGTGCAGGATAACATGAAACTCTGTAAATCTTTGTCTGTCTGAAAAACTTAACAGGACACGGGATGGCTCCATAAAAGTTTTTAAAATGTGTATTGCCGTTTATCCGAAGAGGCTTCAGTTTTGTTGCAGTGTGCACATGGAGTAATGTTTTGAAGTAAATAGTGATTTCTTGATCATTAGCAATGCACGTGTGTGTTCGTTACTTCTGTGCAGGGTTGTTGCTAGGAAAAGACTGAATACGCAGATGCATAGAAGTTGCCAAATCAATTGCTACCGGTGGACTATTGTAGATGTTAAGCCAGGAGACAATGATATTAAATTAAATCAAGCATATTTTGTTTGCAATGTCAATTAAAGGATACACGTAATTTACATAGGTACTTGGAGACAGGACATTTTTTTAGACCTCCCCCTTTTTTCCAAAATCCGTCATTTTGTTGTTTTCTATTGATTTCAATTATTTTCGCCTTCTTCTGTATTATATGAAAATAAATATACTAGAAATAACTTGTATTTGCTATTTACTATTAATTCCAGGTTTACTATACACAGCGGTCACTGATATAAACTGAAAATAGCCAAATATGATTTGCAAAATGTGTCAGATATGCAAAAGTCGGAAAGCATCAAGTCCACTCCTTATAGGAGTTATTTCCCTTGAAAGATGATTCTTACCCACTTCTGAATTTTTTTCTGAAAACTATACTAAATAGAAACTGTAATTAGAAAAAAAGATCAGCAATACAAAATCAATTTGTTGGAACCCCCCCTTTTTTTTGACGATCAATGCTTTTGGATGGGGACATATGGTTGGAACCCCCTTTTAAAAATGACTGGATCCGCCCCTAAAACCATACTTTTAACCCATTTTTTGTCAGTATTGCCTGGGACTATTATACTCACAGGTATTGCTTATTATTAAAAAAAAAAAAATAATTGATACGGAAACTTGGACCAGCAAAAATAAGAATATTTTGGCCAAATTTCCATTCAACACAACGGTGAGCAATACAGGCGCATTGGAGCCGATGGTTTGATTTTATCATTCAAATTCAGATATGAACAAAAGATTTTTTATTTAATGTGGCTAAATAAATATTTTGGGTAAGGCTATGGCTTTAATCTAATTTTGATGGAAAAATGGAAGAAGATACTGACTTACTTCTAGACAACAAGAACATAGAAGGTCCTTTATTTTTAGCTCACCTGGCCCAAACGTCGTCGTCTGTGAACTTTTACAAAAATCTCTCTGAAACTACTGGACCAAATTTAACCAAACTTGGCCACAATCATCATTGGGGTATCTAGTTAAAAAAATGTGTTTGATGACCCTGTCGCCAACCAAGGATGGCTAAAAATAGAGCATAGGGGTAAAATGCAAGTTTTGTCTATTATTTTGAAAATCATTATGAATAGAGAAAATCTGACTGGGCAAAAATGTTCAGATTGTTGAGCTTTACCAATTGTTCATGGATCTCAAAACTGTCAGGTGACTTCTTATAGGAGTTATTGCCCTTAAGGATGTTCCCTACTCTGTTTCAAAATATCAAGCTTTTTAAAAGACTGTTATAAAATGATAGTATATAAATAAAGGAACTAAAAAAGCAGAAAAAAATGAAGGGTCCATGTGCTTGTTTTCGAGATATAAGCCATTGAAAATTTGGCGGGAAATGATTCTCTCTAGATTTTTCATACATTCAACATTGGTACCTTTTTTCAATCAAAAACTATGAAAAAATAACAAGGATTTTATAAGATTTTCAAAGATGGCATTTTAAACTATATGTAATCAAATTATGGGAAAAAAAGTAGGGTTTAGTGGGCAAAAAATTTTAATGGCACTACATGGATAAAACTAGAGGATTCCGAATATCTGGCAAAAATTCAAAAACAAGAGGAGCAAATATCCTTAAATGACAAATTTTACCAATTTTTATCATTTTTGCCTTTTATGTTGAAAACTATTATAGATAGAGAGAAACTTTAAGTTGCAAAAGTGATCAGCATGACAAGATCTACAAATAAGTATGCATGATCGAAATCGTCATTCGACTTCTAATTAGAGTTATTGCCCTTTGATGACGATTTTTACCAATTTTTTTGCGGTTTTGCCTTATATCTTAAAAATTATAACAGATAGATAGAAACTTTAAATAAACAATGATCAGCAAGACAAGACAGCCGACAACGAAGACCTACATTTCAGACAAATGGAGGAAATTTTCCGACAACTTCTTATTGGAGTAATTGCCCTTTAATGACAATTTTTACCATTTTTTTTGCGTTTTGCCTTAAAGGATGAAAATTATAATAGATAAATAGAAACTTTAAATAACAAAAATGATCAGCAAGGCAAGATTCACAAACAAGTGAAATTTTGCTGATATAGTTAGTAGACTGTCACTCTTCATAGGAGTGATTGTCCTTAAATGAGGATTTTTAACCCTCTTTTCTGTTTTGAGCAAAAACTAAAGAAGATGCTAGAGAGAATATAAACAGACAAAATGATAAGCAATACAAGATCAACAAAAAAAAAATTTTTGTCATGAATTCTATTCTTGTCTACAATGTTGAAGAGTCCATTGTTGATAATGCACATAGACCTAGGTGAACGACACAGGTTCTTTAGAGCCTCTAGTTTTTCTTCTCTACTCCCACGCCACTGTTGGGTGTTGATGCCAGCTCTTGCAAGTTTGGTAGTCCCCGTTAAATTTATTCAAATAGTATGTTGACACATGTTGAACTTCAGATTTCTTATCTGGTTATATTGTATTGGTTGGTTGATGTCCCATTGACATATATCCCACCTCTTTAATGAAAATGACACTTTTACATATCAGAAAATTCTTCAAATACAAAGCCAAGAAGCTTATCAAACAATACAAAGTGTATCAAGTTCAAGATGATGATTCAAAAGTGTGTTACTTTGTAACTGTATGCATTTTTCAAAGATGGACAGAAGTTAAAATATAGAAAAATAAACAGATTTTTTTTAATGAAAAAAAAAACCAAATATTTTGCCATGTACATTATTCTTTTTTAGCCAAATAGCAAAAATTCTAGACAATTTTTAAGACTTTACATGAATTTCAGAAGAACACTATTGATAGCTATCCCGTCGTAAATAATTAACACAAAGTTAACACTTTATTTTTTGGTTTTTGGTAAGTCACTCAAACTTTCAACAGATGCTTCATCTTTTTACTGTTATTTATGTTTGTTCCATGAATTTTGCATAAATATGTACTTTTTATACTTATGAACCTGGAAAAAGAAATATAATTGAAACTAAAGTAAACAACTATCAGCATTTATTTATTTATTTAAAATAAACTTTTGTATGTAGTGTATAAATAAAAACAAAAAAACATATATATCTATAGACATTACATTGTACTCCAGGAGAGCTGAAACTGTTTCTGGTGAGTTTACTGTTGTGTGATTCTAAGCTTATAATGTTGCTTTCAGATAGACATATACAATAAAATAAAATGCCGATTAGTATTGACTTGATGCATCTTATATCTCACATGTTATTTCGTTTAATAAGTACCTTTACATAGGGACTTCAAATATGAACCCAAATATAATTAGATTAGAATAACAGTTTTAGAAAATTTCAAAATTAATTGCCAGAAATCTCAATCCATAGCCTCAAATTTGTAAACAAAAATATTAAGGTCACTTTTTTATTTATTTGCTTCATATATATGACTCAAAATACAACATATTTATAAAAAAAAAGATAATAATAACAAAACAATGTAAAACTGTCTCAACTCTCCTTGCATATTTCAAGGTCTATAACAGCACTTTCATATCAAATAAAAATATATTATCAGTATAGTAGAAAACAATAAGAAACCAGTGAAGTTACATAAGCAGACATTTGTAATTCGCCGTTTCAGAATCTTATTGAATTCTGGGTAATATTTTCAAAACTGTACAAAAAGGCTGTGATTGGCTTACAACATCCCAAACCATTGTTGTTTTCATTTTGGGGTACGAAACAATGATTCTGAAATGGTGAATTTTAGAACTTTTAAAGGCATATAAAAAAAAATGTTCTATGCAGTAATGCCTTGCAACTACTTAAAATATATTGCAGAACAGTAACAACTGTTGTATAACCTACTTCTTCAAGATTTTTGCAAGGCTCTGCACTTTCCTTTCATATAGTTTTTTTTGTTAAATTTTTATTTATGAAACACTTTTTTTTCAACAAGTATATCTAATCTTATTTCCCGAGACCACTCTATACAGTAGTTTAATCAGATAGGTTCTTCAACAAATCGTTTTTTTTATTTCTTGATAAAATTAGCCAAACTATAAAGAAAATATATCATAGAAAAAATTTTTTTTTCTGTTCTTTGAAATCACTACCGGTACTCTGCATGACGTCATATGTGAAATTTATAGAAAAGATACTCTTAAAGTACCGTGTTTTCTTACATGCAGAGAAATTAAACCAATAATGGTAATAGTGTGAGGAGTTGGTTTTTTGGTATTCTTGCAAATGCATCACCCATACAAAACAGTTTAGAATAATTTTTATTTTTTACTATCAAACACTAATAGTAACATATATATAAATATGTTATTAAAATAAACATTATACAAAACATTTAGAAATGAGATATTAGCAAATTAAAAAAAATCAATTACATTTGCTAATTTGAGTTTATGAATGAAATTGGAATGTTTATCAGATTCGAATGAGGAAAATATTTCCAAGGCAAGAGATTCATTTTATGCTTAATTCAAATTTATTTACCAATTTATTGATACCAGTACCATTATCAAAATAAGGAGAGGTGGTTTTGTACATTTTGTATTTCAAAGCAGTCAATAAATATCATAAAGGGATATTCATTCTCAGCAGCCAACCGTTTTTTTTTTTGTGTTTTTTTTTTAAATTGGAATGAGCTTACAATTTTTTCCAAATGCATATTATTGATTTTGGTACTGAAATTCTTTCTTTTATAAATTGAAAAAAAAAAGTATCAGTTTTACATATATATAAATATTATGCAATTGGTTTACTGTTTTTTGTTATAATATGATCGTTGCTATAATCTTCTTTTAACAAATCAATGAAATATTAGTAGATCTTAGATTCAATCTGATAAAGTACTCATTATTTCTATGAAAACACATGAAAACTTCAAATAAAAGTTAAAGAAATAAAACTTGGGAATACCAATATTCTACCATTGATTTTTTTATGTATCTTCTTTATTTGCTGCAGTATTTTGGATATTTCAGAGAAAAGTAATTTAAATACATCTTGAAATTCCATGTTATACAAACTTTTACTTTTGTCTTTTTTGTTTTAAAATAAAATAATTTACAAATAATGGGGATACTTCAATTTGGAGTAAGACCTTTAATGATAAGAATAAAACAAATTCATAAATAATACATAAATAAAATGGTAACCAAATGACCTCTAGAAGTAAACATAAGGTTATCAACAATAGAAAAAATTATTAGATTATATTCTAACTTCTCGCAGCAATAACAAATAGAGCAGATACATATCCTCTTTTCTAAAACACATTCTGAATTATCAAGGAGATTAGCACATATTCCCCAGAATAAATCATATAGCTCAGGTTTCATGTACTTTTGTCTTTAGATGATGGGGTTTTTATCTAATTCAAAACTTTTAACATGTTCCCTGAAGTCAGTATCCCCTCTCAAGTAACTGGTCAAGATTGGATAAAATTTTCTTTCAGATGTCCACAATATTACCTCCCCTTTGTAACTTGGTTTAGGAAAATAATAAGTCTTTAATTAATGCACAAAAAAAATCCAACCCAAATAAGAAATAATCTTATTGGTTAGCCAATAAATATGCAAAGTCTCCTATGGTCCCTTTTAGAATTAAAATACCAAATAGTTTCATTTACACATCTTGGAACATTTGGCTTAACCATTGTTGAACAGTATGGTCATGCATCAACTTTTTTCTTTAGTTCAAAAACTTGCAATAAGTATTAAAGGGATCAGAATCAAAACAATTTCCCCCCATTCTAATGTGATCACACATGACCAAATGCAAAGGACAATTGTTAAATTGCATCAATTTATAAAAATCATAGATTGAAGGGTTCAGTTTGGTAGAAATTTGCCTTCGAAAGTACAAAATTCTACTTTTTTTAGTGAAAAACGAGGAATTTATGACATAAGAATGCTCTGAAAACTATCAGAAATATTCTCTGTGCTTTTTATAAACAGTCTGACAATCTTACAACAGTTGTTCAACTGTCAAAGTAGATCTGGTGGTTGAATTAAGCTGAAAATAAAATACATTTATGTATTGCATTTTTGTTGGCCCTCATGATCAGTACATACAAGTTAAATAGTTTCTAATCACTTGTTTAAGTTGAACAGAATTAAATACAACATGTATTCAAATGTTCTCAAAGAAATAATTTTAAGTATGTTAAGTGTAAGCAAATAAATTTTTTTAACATTTTTTCATAATTCTATTCCTTTGGTTAACAGATGCACTTCCAAATAATGTTAAATATAGGATTATTTGAATTGAATTTAAAAATGCATCATAAAATACGCCATAAACTTTAAGAGGGATAGCCTCACTAAATCATCCTCTAGTAATAGTTTTAAACAAAAGATGTTTTGTTGATGGTAGTTTTTTCTATTCTTTCAAATCAAATGACGTGTTATCTGTACATCTAGTTAACCATTTAATTTCTAGATCCTGTGTTCTGTCATTTTTTCATATACCATCGTAAGTCCTGGTCATATCAGTCTTGCCACATTTTAGGGTAAAGGCAATACCATCCTATAAAAGAACATATGAAATCTTACTCAGATATGATCACATTTTTTGTATTTCATAATTGACTTTTTAAAATCAAGGAACAGTATCCCCATCCCTAAGCAATCTATACATTTTTCCAATACTTGCATTTATTTTCTCAGAAATTCACAACAAAAACTATGTTACACACATCTAGAAAAATATTATGCATTAAAAAATGCAGTGGTATTGGAAGATTAATAAAGGCAATACAGTTGAACATTTGATTTTGACAATATGAAACTCTCTTTCAACATCAATATAAACGATTCATTGAAATTTGTCCAAGCCGACCAATAGCAGTATGACAAAGGGAAAATGTCCCTTTTTTCATGTAAAAAATTTCATTTGTCTTGTCTGAAATCACATAATATTCAACTGAATAAAAAACGACCTTATAGCCCTTTGATTCCATAAAAATTTCATCAAAAGATGTTTTAATTATTTCTGTAATGTTAGGACATGCAAACAAATGAACATCAGAATACCTTGTTAAGTTATTTAAAGACGACTCTAGAAATATAAAAGGCTTGATCAGAAATTGCTTACATCCACTTCATTTGAACTTTAGTGGATAGTTGTCTCATTGGCAATCATACAACATCTCCTTATTTTAATATTGAAAATATGTCTGCTCTATGTTAGGAATAATGTCAGTGGTTGTCTTTATTTCTATCTAAGTGAATTTTGTCCTTCACATATGGTGACTTCACTTGTTTTTACTTGAAATTTTGTCAAAAACATTACCGTTGGTACTCGAGTAAAAGTCGATCCGACTACAAGTCGGATGCCCTTTTTAGCTTAAAAATCTAAGGATTTAGTCTTGACCCTCATATAAGTCGATCATGTTTTTTTTCTTTTTACCAGCAGCAGACTGTTACTGACCATCGGTAATATCAATGCAAAATCCAGGAATTATATTCATTTTGTGATCCATTCATGAAAGAATGTTTGTTTGTTTAAATTTAAAAGATGTTCATCATGACAATTAATATTGTTGTTAATAATAAAGATGTATTCATTTCTTGTTTTGTTCACTGTTTGATTTAGCCATGTGTTGTTTACGTAATGCATCAATGATTTTGTAGAATGTGACTAACCACCTATTGTTAGAGAAAACCTGAATAAATTAAAAGTCAAACAACACTTGATGAAAATGTTTTTCACAGAATTAATGCATAGTTCAGTAATGAGCACACTTCATAATTCTTTTTAAATTGTTATGATTAAATGATTAAAAAAATCAAGCGAAGCTAATTAACTAATTAAAAGAATTCCAACTCTTTAGTATCGCCTATTTACATGTCACTGATATTTTCCACACCTATAGTGAATACAACTCTTTTATTAGTAAAATATGGAGAAACAAGAATGTGTCCATAGTACACAGATGCACCACTCGCACTATCATTTTCAATGTTCAGTGGACCGTGAAATTGGGGTCAAAACTCTAATTTTGCATTAAAATTAGAAAGATCATATCATAGGGAACATGTGTACTAAGTTTCAAGTTGATTGGACTTCAACTTCATCAAAAACTTCCTTGACTAAAAACTTTAACCTGAAGCAGGACAGACAGACGGACAAACGAACGGACGCACAGACCAGAAAACATAATGCCCCTACTACTATCGTAGGTGGGGCATAAACAAATTTTGCTCTGGATACTGTCTTTTGATTATAAAGTAGCATCTGTCCAAGTTTTTCAAATAATTCAATGAAGGCTTGATAAAGTTATTGATGTCTTAAAATCTTTAACCACAGACTGAATCTAAATGTTGACGCCGTTAAAGACGACAGAAAGTAGGATGTCTTGCTTCAGCAATTTCCGTTGCAAACTGGCCAAAAACCAATGACTGAACCTAAATGTTGACAACATAGAAAGAATGAAGAATTTTTCTTTGCAGACAAGATGAAAAGAAATATAAAATACTAACTGTTATCAGAACAGGTAAATCTATCCAAAATTCGGAATGTGGCAGTACTTCTGGGCCTCTGAATCCGTAACAAAATTTAAATGTACAGCCAAATAAAAAGTATGTTGACACAACAACTACAAATCTGAAAAAGAAACAAACATTAATGATTGTCTGATTGCCCATGACAAGTGAAAGTAAATGTAAAAAATATAAGTTGAAAACATGGAAAAATACCGAATCTAGCCTCAAGTAATTCTCTTTTTATCAAAAAATCATCGTTCATCTCAATCAGCCTTGACAATATCGTCTATTTCACTGAATTTTTGTATACTCAGTATTTTTCCTGTCTAACCAAAGCCAATTCAATACTGTTGGCTAATAAGAGTATGATTCAGTTCTTGATGCACATTTTTTTATCGACCATTCATATGAGACCTAGCTATTTAAGGATCTATTAAAGAATGCACAACACAATAATATAAAACTGAGATCATCATAATATCATCGATGTTGAAATCTCAAACAAATACAAAATTCAGGAAATTAAAAAAATATATAAAAAAAGTTTAATAAGGCCTTCTCCTGCTCAGTCACTAATTTATTTCTATAGTTATTTGTGGATAAAAACGTGTCCACATTCTGTTTTCTTATGCAGTATTATGCATATCAAAACCAAATCAGTATAGATCCCAAACTCAAGACGGACTTGACAGCTTACACTGGGGGAATTTTTCAGTGGTACAGTCAAATCTGCCTTAATGGTCACTTCGTTTCAGCGGTCACCTGCCTCTAACAGTCACTTTCAAACCCTCCCAAACGTTTTCTCTATATAATTTAACTCGTTTCAGCCGTCACCTGTCTAAGGCAGTCAGCAGTCACCTAATTTTCACCCGAAATCGTCAAATCAACTTTTAACAATGGTCACTTTCTGGTTTTAAACAACAAAAATATAATCATGACGAAAATATGTGTGTTCAGTATCGAGGTCAAAATGAGAATTAGAACCCGTTTGCAACTGATATCGCACATTAGGAGGTGAATTAGTGAAATTCTGGTGTTCCACTCTGTTCAAGTTCCACTGAAAACTGCATCATCGACTTATTGATCCTCGAATATAACTATTTCAAATGTTTTCTTAAAATTTAGAGCGCTGGAATCCGCCATTTTTTATTTGTCTTCTTACACTAACGATACAAAACAATTTGCCCCGATCCCGGCCATGTGCGATGCCAGAATCAGATTTTTTTTTGGAACCTCATTCAAAAGGTCACCTCTCTAAATTGAGCGGTCACTTTTGATACTTCCCATGAGTGACTGCTAAATATAGGTTTGACTGTATTCAGAAATGAAAACCTGAACTCTACAAAATTAATTTGCATCCATCATGACAGAAATTTCGTTAGCAAGTACAAAATTGACAAGTGGTTTTCTCTTTCGGACAAATAAATATCATGGTCTATTGACCAAATTTTTGAAAGTGGCAAATTGTTAAAAAAGTTAAAGTCGAACCCTGCTTAGTTTATGTTTTTGAAAGTGAAACCCAGAAAGCCACTTTGATCAAAATTTAATATCAGGTTCACAACTCCTGTAGAAGAATCTTCAATTTTCGATGAATGCTGAAAAAATATTTTTTGCATATTAAGCAAATTATCAAAGTGTGACATGGATGATGACAGAAGTTATCCAAATGCAACATTACAGCTTTGGTGGGAGGAGACACAATAAATATAACAGCTATGATATCAGATGTCATCCCTATGTGTTTCTACATCTTCTATGGCAGGCAAACCATAAACATTACAGGGATCTTAGACTTACATAATAATTAAGATAGACCCTAGACTTAGACTGTTATCTTCTGGTACTGGTTGTGGTGGCGCTATGGCTGTACAGGCTCCTTCATACTGAACATGTACAGTAAACTGAAAAAGAAGTGTATTGGAAATGCTTTTTTTATTTCAATGGTTGTTCATTTCACAAGATAAAATCTACTATTTAAATGAAATTTTTAACTTTTGATTCCAATTTTGTCTAATATTAGTGTGATTGAAATACTATGCTTTAATAAGAAAAACCTTCACTTAAAGGTTTCCAATAAAGAAATAAAGGTGCTATACAGAAATCACAAAATTATACAATATTTGAAAATGTCTCATTCCAAAATAAAATAGTTCTGACAACTTTTCTTAGTTTCCAATGAAAAAAATCATTGAAGGCATGTATGAGTATAAATCTACATTCAAATTAAACAGATCTCTGACATGAAATGGAAACTCTATCCATGAACCAATACAGTTTTGATAGACATTTTAAATAGTCTGTTCAATTCCAGATGTAAAGATTTTTTGAATGGAAATTAATTGCTCTACTTGGTTCTTGAATACAAGATTGAAAATATCATACAGTAAAAGGTAAACAAATTTATATGTATATGTTTGAATGTGTTTGTGTTATATCAGAAATAAAATTTATACAATACCTTGCATTTACTTTCATCAAAAGTAACATTAGTTATATAGTTAGAAGGCAGTGATGCTGTTTTACCGGGATCTACTGTTTTCCATTTCATATTTCTATTGCATTGGAAATACACCTCTGACTGTAGCACACATATAGTCTTGTTATCTTTCATGGTGTAGTTTGCCCCACTGTCAAAATTTGCTTTAAAGTCAGTACCTAAAAATCAATCAAATTCATAACATATTACATTGACATTTAAATTGAAAATGTGTCCATAATTTCATGATTAAGATAAAGTAGTGAACATATCCCTTGCAGAAAACTGAATCTTTACAGATGATTAGACTCAGGGCTACCAAAAAAAATAACAAAAATTCAACTGTACAAACCCTTATGAAACAGATTTGACTAAGATTAATGTAAAATTTATTACCAAATTATTGGTATCACATGTTAGTTTTGCCAACAAATTTAAAAAGATTTAAGTATGTTAAGGTTCCATTTTTATGTTACCAACTAATGATTCCACATCTGTTTTCTGACAAGATTTGACTACAAATAGATATACATGTATAATATTTTGGATTGTCACTGGAAAACCAACGGTAATAGATAAGCCGAGATATTTTCTTGGAATAGGCCATCTATGGATCTTTTTTTCTACTGTAATTTTGAAAGAGTGCAACGAATTTACTTCTTTATGATTTTTATCAATAAATAAAAAAGATTTGTATAAATCAAATACAGTAATTTACCTGTCTTTCCTTTTATTGTTGAATAGGGGTTTTTGTTAGGTATTTTCCCTACACTGTAATTTTTCGTTATTTTTGCTCCAGTTCCATTGTAAGTCTGCACACATATACTAGAACTATTTCCACATTCCATACTAGTTTGTAGTCCATGACAGAATCCCATGAATACAGTACAGTTTCTATATGGATTCCAACCAATGCCTTCTTTCTGTGATGTAAAGGACCAGTAACTAAAACATATTAAAATTTTAAAACTTTGGCACAGAGAATTTTAGATATAATGATAAGTGATAACTGAACCTACCAAGTTTGAATTAAGCCTACCAAAGAATTGTCCAATAAAAGAACTGGCGTATAGCATAAAATGTACATGTACTGTAAAATTTATAATGAAAAGTACATTCAGATATGTACCATTTTTATAAAAAAAAATATAGTCAGTTATGATGTTATCAAAAATGCCTTTTAAACCAATTTCTCATGCATTGCAGTGGGTATTATTTGGTTCAAATCTTTTCATATTCTTTTCCTTTTGAGAGCTAATTGTGGTGGTTTATGTTTTTGGGATAGTATACAATATTTTTTTAAATGACTTTAGTATATGTTTTGAAAAATCCACAGCTTGACCTTCAGAAACACCAATGAAGTCTTCATCAATCATGTTATCAATGCCATACACATCTTTAAGTTTTCATGAAAAAAACATAAGAAGAAAAGCAAGTTGTTGCATTTCCAACAAGAAATAATTGTAACAGGATGCTGTTACAAAGTCTCCCAAACATATCCCCATAAGTATAAACCTCTTAGACTCTCCCTATTGAATAAATTGAAAAAAAAGTTCAAGGTCATAATTGACCATTGACCTTTTGACCTTTCAGTAGGCCATATGTTTCAATGGTCATTAATGAAGAACCCCATGTGTCTATCACTAACTGTTCTCAGGTTATAAAGAAGAATAAGAAGAAGAACTTTGATTGGAAGACTTAATTACATAACTTTACAAATAACAATTTTAGATTTTTTCATAATAAATTATGTACTCTGGATTTCACCCACATCACCAGAATTTGAATCTCTTATAAGGATTCCTAGCTAGCTGTATTGGCTATTAAATTCTGCATCACAAAAAATTTTCAGGAAAATATATTTTTTCTGTATACTTTTACAAAATGATTTGATAGAAAAGAATTATGATTTGTTTAATTCGGCTTTGAATAGAATAATGATAAAAATAATTTTTAAACTCCATAAACAATTAAGTCTTTGGGGGATGACCATTTGCTATTCCTGGGGAGGAGGATTTTATACGGATCGACTATTCATTTTCATGTAGATCAGCAGCTAAGCATGCTTATTTTTTCTGCAGCTTTACTGAGCCATAATTTATTTTCACTATCATACAAAATTATATCCTGCATTTTGTGCCCGCCCCCCAGAAAATGAAATGGTCATTCCCTTAAATGCCATTTTAAATTGCTTAAAATTATTTTTGACTAGTTGGCTACAAATACCTGAATCGAGTGCAAGACTTTAGCTAAAATTTTAATATATATCTATTCAAAAAATGTTGGCTTTGGCAAGTATATTTGATTATAGAGCTGCTTTGGCACAAAACATACAAAAGTTTTGTTTAATATCTTAATACAAGGATCTATTCTCATAATAAATAAATTACTTCTATTATAAAATAACGTCAAATAACTGATGCTTTGTTTTATTTCTTAACAATTGTAGAATATTTTGTTATATTAAAGTCCATGTATTGTAGAAATGGATGTCTGTGATATATTTTAATAGCTCATCTTTAAAATTTGACTTTTTTGGGACATTGCATGCTAAGTACTTCATGAGATTTTACTTTTTTCACTGGAAACTTTATCTGTTGACATATATAATGTGATTGTTTTATAAAAATTTAATAAATTTAGTTATGTTGAGAGATGCACATTATGGCAAAATTTAAAATTACAAATTGTTTTGTCTCTTAGAAAGCGTGTAAGCTAGATTTCTGAAGTCCGGAAATAATTACGAACTTTTGAAATATAAAAATAAGATGTGCACTGAACACTGGTATGAATTCCAATGAGACAACTGAGACTCCATCAGAGACCAAATGACATCAAACTTAAAAGTTTACAACTATAGGTCACCATTATAACTCTTTAATATTTAACTCTTTGAAGGCTATTTAAGTATTTTACTTTTCTACGGAAGGCCTTCCTAAAAACGCCTTACAGCAAAAATATTAAAATAGCCTTTTAAGACATCATACTTTTTTGGACTAAGATTTCTGTTGCTTTTTCGCAAAATGGGTGCAAATTGGATATTTGTTTTGGTGCAAATTGGGTACTGAGAGAATACTACACAGTGATCATGTTATACCTTTTTTTTCGCTTTAGATACTTCCGAGGCGTCCAGCAATAAAATATTAAAAAACCGCACACGACGTGATAACTTTTTGGACTAATACTATCTTTCATTTTAATACCTTTGCAAAACATGAAATGAATTTATAACCTGCTTTAAAATGTAATTTTTCAGTTCATGTTTTGTTATGGTAATTTTCCTTGAAATTTTCTTGCAAATTTATTGTTAAAAATAACACAGGAATGTTCAAGGGAGGAAGATTAAGTGTATGTAGGAGAACAATGCTTAAATCAGAAAAAAAACTCCCTCCCCCTTTTCAACTGCAATATTAAAGGGAGATAACGTTTTCATCAATGTGTAGTCATGTGATTTCTAAATGAGGTCATAATGGAGTCAGCGAAATTGTAAACAGAGGAAAAAAGTAGTGTAGAAACCTGAAGTCGTATATTTTGCTCAAGATAAAGGTAATGCCTCATATTCAAGTACGTTTTTAAAAATAGAAAACAAGGAAACTGAAACCATATGAAAATATTTAAGATTGCTGTGATTGTTCGCCTACCATTGTGATAGATTCCCAACTTTAAAATTGGAAAACGTATCATTTGGACAATTGTCACAGTTTGAAGGTTTTGTCACAAAAGAAATAAGCAGCATTGCTCCTAAAAGATTCATAAAACACTTGGAAAACATTTTCATTGTCGCCACCATTTTTTATCATGTGACGTCTCGTGGTAGTTTTATATAGCGGGAAATTTAAAAAGGAATAAAAAGAAAAATTGTGTTTTAATTTTGAAGCTATTTGAACTTTGTAAAAAGATCTAATAAATCATAATGTCCATTTAAACATTCATTGTTTTTGATGCAATAATACAACTATTTTACCTTCTGTTGTCAACATCTCCACTTTATAAAGCCATTAAAGGTGATGGCCATTTGATGAACTAAGATTTCTGTTGCTATTTCTGTTGGTATTCGGGGTGGGACTAAAAAAAATAGAAATGACCACAATAACAACAAATAAAAGCCTTATTCTGAAAGGAGACTTTCACTGATTTTGGTTAATGACAAAATTAGGGGATGGAAGGATACAGAGCCAGAGGCGGATTTAAGGGGGGGGGGCCCTTTTGAGGGAAAAATTTTGTTGATTATTTAAGGAATCACTGAAGCATGAATGAAGTGGGCCCCCTCTTAGGCAGTCAGTGCCCCCCCCTTATGAAAATTTCTGGATCCGCCACTGGGATATAATTGTTCCTCCTGAAAATACTACCAGAAGTTCCTCTAAAATTTGAAAAAAAAGTGTATTTTGAAAAAGTCAAATTTAATAAAACTATAATTATTTATAAAAACATCAAAAAACACAATACTTCTGAACAACATATAAAAAATGCAATTTTAATGATCGATGTCAAACAAAAATATTTTCAAATATTATTTGATCCTAGGTTGTGCATTATTTTGCCTATCCTGTTACCATTTACATGATTTACATAAGAATTCTTTTACTATAGTATAAGGTATGGACAAAATTTTAAGCAGCAAGATTGTTTTTCATGAACAATGAAGTGGTTTTCAAGAAAAAATAACTTCTATATATTTTCTTTCTGTGTATTGATACAAATGTAGATTGTCAGTTAATTTTTCCATGTTCATGTTGTACCGAAAAAAGCCTCTTAAACTTAGCGTGAAAATGTTGTAAAAATAACTACCAGCCAGGTGAGTCTAAGCATAGATATAATAGCCATAGATAAAGTACTGAACCCACATCAAAAGCAGATGATATTTGCCGAAATTTTTTCACCCTCTTATTATATACATGTCACGCTTGGTGTTAATTAGCCTTCATTGGCAATTGCCGTCTATCGATATCTAATAAATTGTGAATTGGGAGAGTAATATGTCATTCTTCGGACAAGTTCGGTAGTTATCGTTATCTTCCGGTACATCATTTTTTTTTTTGAATGTTTATATACGTGCTTAAAATACAAGTCAAGGTGATCGATGTATAATTACATTGTTCTTATAAGTCCTGAATATTCATCAAATATTTTCCACCGAACGTTGTGAAATCAACGATCATATAATAAATCACAGTAATAGAAAATACACAACTAGTTTCATACCAAACCAAAGAAGTTATAAAAATAAAGTACACAAAAAGTACGTTGACAACTAAACGGGCAGACTTACGGAGGGTTATATAGCCGTATTTATAGTACGAATAACACCCCTAACACAATTCTAAGAAGGATATATATTGTTTACTTCAAAAATGAAATCGACAATCAGATTAAACCATCCGCTATTTAATTGCAAAACAAGCAACAACAAAAATGTAAGCGGAAAAGTATTATATATATAAAAGAAAAAAAATCAGAGACATAATAATTGTGCTATTTCCCAATTATTTAATGTATTCAGTATGTCCACCACTTACGTTTTCTTCACCAAACGGCGTTTTAAAATTTATAATGTATTCATTTTTTTCTCTTTATTTTTCAAAAACTTCGTGTTACCGTTACGACAGAAAGTTTCAACACTTTTTTTGTGTTCTAAAATATAATAATTTCTTTTTTCTGGTCTAAAATGTGATTATACTGTTTTGAATCTCGATAAAAAAGAATTGTCTTTAACTCGCCATAGAAAAATTCGACCAGGTTCAACCTCTTAACCACGTATACCATCAGTAGTTGATATGTCTCCTCTTGTCAATCATACAGGTCTTATTTCCCGAGTGCAACCGATGCAAGTGCTATGGCAATTTAATTTTACGTGCCTGTTAAGTCCATTTTCCATAATTTCTCTATTCTATTATTTCAACAACAGCATAACCTTTTTATTTGTTGACCGATTTCTCCAAATAAATTACAATCCGAACAGTTTTTACAACCAGACGCTTTTCATTGCTACCGCCTCACAGCATATTTTTACTTGAGACAGGTAACGCATATTAATTATCAGCTGATAAGACGCGTGCCCGATAATTTAAATATAATTATGATAAGAAATTAGTCTATTGGGAGGATGTCGGCAGATATCATCTACACCACTTCACGCCGTGCCGTGCGTTTGATATTTCAAAGGAAACTACATGGGGCTCAGTGTGATATATTCTGAGTACTTTATCTATTGCTATTATATCTATGGTCTAAGATACCGAATCATAATATTCAGTATTTTTTAACTCTTTCTAATAAACCCAACATCAAATACATCGTACACTTCCCTCACATATTGATTTACTGTTGTCATTATGTTGTTGGTAACAGGAAAGTACCTTTAGGATATATACATGTATATACAAATGTATACATGATATACATGTACACTATATCACTTAATGAAGTTCTATCCTGTAACTTGTATTTTCTGTCCTGTTACCAATATTAAAGCAGTATTTTGTATTGTGTGTGCCAAATTGCAGGGATAAAGATGTTGTATTGGTAGCCATTAAATTAGTTCAAATAGTCAAACATTTTCAAAGATCTTCCTAAATAAAATATATTTTTATACACCATTTGAAGAAGTTTCAAAAAAATATAGTCTTTCCCAAGACAGTAACCTTAATCATAGTAACCATGGTAAGAGGATAGATTATAAGTACTTAACAAAAAAGACACATCTCTATATTTTTAACCATTTTGCAGATTCCAAGGCAATCCCAAAAATTAAAAAATATAATTTGAAATATGTAGTAACCTGATACTGTACACACATATATTTTGCTAAAAAAAAGAAATTGGATTGATTAGACTTTCATGAAATAGATGTACCAATAGTGACCATTTATTAATTTATACTGATCTACAAACTCGTAAATAAAAAAAACTTTATTATAACACTTAAAACACCTTTTTAGCTCACCTGACCTGAAAGGTCAAGTGAGCTTTTCTCATCACTTTGCGTCCGTCGTCCGTAAACTTTTACAAAAATCTTCTCCTCTGAAACTACTGGGCCAAATTTGACCAAACTTGGCCACAATCATCATTGGGGTATCTAGTTAAAAAAATTTGTCCGGTGACCTGGCCAACCAACCAAGATGGCCGCCATGGCTAAAAATAGAACATAGGGGTAAAATGTAGATTTTGGCTTATATCTCTGATACCAAAGCATTTAGAGCAAATCTGACATGGGTAAAATTGTTTATCAGGTCAAGATCTATCTGCCCTGAAATTTTCAGATGAATCGGATAACCCGTTGTTGGGTTGCTGCCCTTGAATTGGTAATTTTAAGGAAATTTTGCCGTTTTTGGTTATTATCTTGAATATTATTATAGATAGAGATAAACTGTAAACAGCAATAATGTTCAGCAAAGTAAGATCTACAAATAAGTCAACTTGACCAAAATGGTCAGTTGACCCCTTAAGGAGTTATTGCCCTTTATAGTCAATTTTTAACCATTTTTCGTAAATTTTTGTAATCTTTTACAAAAATCTTCTCCTCTGAAACTACTAAGACAAATTTAACCAAACTTGTCCACAATCATCATTAGGGTATCTAGTTTAAAAAATGTGTCCGCTGACCCCGCCCGCGAACCAAGATGGCCGACATGGCTAAATACAGTACATAGGGTAAAATGCAGTTTTTGGCTAATATCTCTGAAACCAAAGCATTGATAGCAAATCTGACTAGATAAAATTGGTCATTAGGTCAAGATCTATCTGCCCTGAAATTTTCAGACCAATCAGGCAACACGTTGTTGGGTTGCTGCCCTTGAATTGGTAATTTTAAGAAAATTTTGCAGCTTTTGGTTATTATCTTGAATATTATTATAGATAGAGGTAAACTGTAAACAGCAATAATGTACAGCAAAGTAAGATCTACAAATAAGTCAACATGACCAAAATTGTCAATTGACCCCTTAAGGAGTAATTGCCCTTTATAGTCAATTTTTTACAATTTTCATAAATTTTTGTAAATTTTTACAAAATATTTTCCACTGTAACTACTGGGCCAAGTTCATTATAGATAGAGATAATAGTAAGGAGCAAGAATGTTCAGTAAAGTAAGATCTACAAACACAATTTTGTCATGAATCCATCTGTGTCCTTTGTTTAATATGCACATAGACCAAGGTGAGCGACACAGGTTCTTTAGAGCCTCTAGTTTCATTAAAATTAAAATGTTACGATAGGTTTCTGAAATTTTTCTTTATTAAATTGAACCACCTGTTTCTGTTTAAATTAAAATTCTATGTCATTTATTTTGTCGGTAACAAATAATAGCATTCTGGGCATATTATTTTTGCTGGGAAAAATATTACATATAATATGTAATATTTTTCCCAGCAAAAATCATATGCCAGAATGTTTCTTCCTGGCATTTTGAACTTGTATTCCATGACATTTGCATCCCAGTCGATATCAACAGATCTAAAGAATCTTAACTGTCAGCACAGGCACTTGTCTCTGAAATTTTTCTTTCCTATATACCTTAATATAACATGTTATATTAAAGTATATAGGTATTTTTTTTCAAAGACAAGTGCCTGTGACTGTCAGGCAGTAATGTGTTCAGCAAGTAGTTCTTAAGGAAAAAAAACACCAGTGTAAAATTTCAAAATTGTGGTTAAAACATTTTATTTTTAAAAATGAGAAACCACTGTTTTTTTTTACTAGGATTTCTAATTAGTTGGTATCAATAGATATTACTCCCAGTATGTAGGTATAATTTGCTATTCTAAACGGTTAACTTCATCCTGTGTCAAAAACTAATGGTTGCCCACCATTTACAAAACGTCAAAAATATTTTGTGGATGGATTTTACCAAAACTTTATAATTTATAAAGAACAGATCATGAATTAATTCCTGGTGTAAAACAATTACCCATGAACATGATAGTTGCTTACAATGTAGGATGTACATGTGTTGTAGCGGGGCCCCTGATGAAATGTCAGTTTTCTAGTCTTTAAGATATCTTACCGGTATATGTTTATTAGATATATTTATAAATGTGAATTATATTAGATTAGATATTTATTGTATTGTCTGTTTTATTTAAATCAGTGGAGATAAAAAAATAAATAGCATTTTTATATGATAGCATAAAATTTTCGTTCGTTTATTGCTATCTCATCGTCGTCGTCGTCCGAAGACATTTGGTTTCTGGACAATAACTTAAGTATAAGTGAATGGAATTCTATGAAATTTAAACACAAGGTTTAATACCACAAAAGGAAGGTTGGGATTGATTTTGGGGGTTATGGTCCCCGGTGCATTACATTTGCGCGCATTACCATTGCGTTTGTGCGCAGCTTTTGATTACATTTGCGCGCATTTATTTGACAGGTAAACTTAGGTAAACTCAGGTAAATACTGGTAAATACAGGTAATGATATTTATTTATTAATTTATTCAATTATTTACAAGTACAAGTACCCCTTCTGTAAGTACAGATAAAAATGTTAAAACATAGCTAATCTAAACAGTAAAAGTACTGATAGTACATGACTTTACATGTTGTTACATGCCGAAAATTTGAAGCCAATTGCTTTGAGAAATGAAAGTCTGTTAACTTCTACATCCTGGTATTTTCTGAATTGCTCCATCAAATAATCTGTTTTCTCTTTTTCACTTCTACGCACTACTGCTGGTGTATCAAGCCCTCTTAGTTTGATGTATGTGGTGGTCTGGAATTTTAGAATAGTGTCAAGAAACACAAAAATACATGGATGTGCAGAATAAAATGGCTCATTGTAGTGAGCATGAAATGATTATGGGCCATTTGTAGTACGCCTGGATTCTGCTGATGGTAGTGATGCCCAAAGACTTGGGGAATGTAAATTTCTACTAGATAATCTGCAAACTTCACACAACGCTGATCATTTGGAACATCTTCAAACATTTCCTTTTTTAAGAAATGCCAAACTAAAGAATTTCTTCAAACACAATCCAATTTCACATTCTTTGTTCTTATATTAAACACTTAGAATTCAATATGAAAAATATATAACTTGAATTAACAAATATTTTTAAAATTAATAACCTACATACCCGGTAGTCATATTTATTATGAAAATTAACAAATTATAGTAATATTTATATTTTTATATTATTCATATGTATATTACCTTTATTTTTACCCGAGTTTACCTGTAAAATAAATGCAGAGCAAATGTAATCAAAAGCTGTGTGCAAACGTAAAAAATATTAATCCCCAAATGCACACAAACGTAATGCGCCCATGGTCCCAACTGTTTAGGAATTGGGGGCCAAAAAGGGGCAAAAAAAAACATTTTACTAGTTTCTGGACAATAACTTGTGTAACAGTGAATGGATTTCTCTGAAATTGTACCACAAGTTTCCATACCACAAAGGGAAGGTTAGGATTGATTTTGAGGGTTATGGCCCAAACCGTTCAGGAATTAGGGGCTAAAAAGGGGGGGAAACAAGGTTTTCTTGGTTAATGGACAATTACTTAAGTACTGGTCTATGGATCTCTATGAAATTGAACCACAAGGTTCCTTACCACAAAGGGAAGGTTGGGTTTGACTTTGGGGGTTATGGCTCAAACCCTTTAGGAATAAGGGGCAAAAAGGGGGGGGGGGGAGGTTTTTCTGGTTTTTGAACAAATACTTAAGTATTAGTCACTGTATCTCTATGAAATTATACCAGGAGGTTCATTACCACACATGGAAGGTTGGGGTCAATATTGGGGGTCATGGCTATAATTGTTAAGAAACTAGATGCCAAATAGGGGCCAAAAAACAAGACTTTTCTAATACTGTCTAAGCTGGTTCTAACATAAATTATTTTTGATCTATATAAAGAAACAACAAATACTTATGTGGCAGGAGATACACACCAAACAGGGTAAATTTTTATATATATAGTCTGTAAACTGATTTACCAAGTATTGCGCAACAGCAAGAAATCTTCAATTGAAAATAAATACAAATCGTTTAACCATTTTCAATGAGGACTAATTTAAAGTCTTGAATTGTTGAGGGTTCTTACCATGTATTACTATTTGGATATTGGGGCCCCGTTTTTAAATAGGTCTACATTGAGGTCCAAAGGGTCCAAAATTAGACTTTGTTTGATTTCATCAGAAATTCTTTTGGTTCTATGATATGCTGAATCTAACTGTGCATTCAGATTTTTAATTTTGGGCCCTGTTTTAAATTAGTCCATATTAAGGTCCAAAGGGTCCAAAAATTAAACTTTGTCTCACCTAGTTAAATCATTCTGAACTAAGTGTGCACAGTAGTATGTAATAACTAGGTAAGACTAGGTAAGACATGTGCAGTACTGATAAATACGTAAAATAATATACAAACTAGCCGACATTGCGAAGGCTTTATATCCAGGTGAAACGTGCACTAATAATAAATATGTAGAATAAATTTAGAAAAATGAATATTTTAATCAACAAAAATATATACTCCCTAAAACCTCATTATATATTCAAACGCCTGTGGCAGTAGCAAACGTACAATATGTCAATACACACTTAATTAAGCTACGCCTCCATAGCATATTCATCATTACATGTTCAAAGGGAAATAACACAAATTTAATAATACAAAGCAGACCTCGCCAACTACACAAAAAATAAATATGTTTCTCCCTAAAGTAGTTTTGATTGTTTAAAGCTAATCGACTTTAAAAAATTCACTGCAATTATGTCATCCTATGATACCACTTTTTAAAATAATTCTACAAACAAAAAAACATATTGTAATTATTATTAAACATTTTTAAATGCCAACTATTAAATAAGAATTAAAATCTAATAAACCACAGTTCCCATAATTCAAAATATAGTGCATTACAGATAGCAGTTACCCCACCACCCCCTCTTTTTAACAGGTTGATACATGCTAAGAAAAATACAGATAAAATATTTCTATCTTATTTCCTCTCTTCATTCATTTTCAGTTCACTTCTACTTATTAAACTATATATATATATGTCATTAGATTTTTGATTGCTGAATCTAAACATGTATTTAGATTTTGGATATTAAACCATAAAAGGTTAATGTCCATTTTCAAATTTTTAAATTCTCAGACCACATTCATTCTGTATCAAAAACCTATGCTGTGTCAAATATTTAATCACAATTCAAATTCAAAACTGTATCAAGCTTGAATGTTGTGTCCATACTTGCACCAACTGTTCAGGGTTCGACCACTGCGGTCGTATCAAGCTACTCCAGGCGGGGTGCACATTTTTTTGGTATAGAATTGTCCAAAAAAATTTCACTCACTTCACTGACACTAATTCTTCCATTTGAAGCAATTATGAACCCCTGTTCTTTAAATTTCCTCCTTGAATGTATCACCTTTAAGCATTGCATGGTAAATGTATATTGTTTCCTTCTCTGTATCTTTGTCTAATTTAAATGGTTCCTGGACTTAATATTATCATTAAGTCCCAAAATGATTTTATAGAATACATTTTTTCCCTCTATCTAACTAATTATGAAGTCAAAAATATGTCTTAAAGGTATAATGCGGATTCATTTATTTTATGGGTATCAATTTTCGTTGAATGAGAAAAAAATGTATGTTCATGGATATTTGAATGAAATTTGCTGATTTGTCAAAGTCTGCAAACAAACCTTTAGAAAAATTGTACTTTGATTTACATTTGAAATGGTGGCTCACTATTACCCATGAAAATGGTATTCAAGGAATAATAATGAATCCACAGTTTAAGACACCTTGAATGTTGAAAAAAAAACATAGGTACTTGGGGACAGGACAATTTTTTTTTAGCTTCACCCTTTTTCCCAAAATCTTATATATCAGTGACTGCTGTGGATAGTAAATTTGGAATTGATAGAAAATTGCAAATACAAGTTATTTCTAGTATATTTATGTTCATTTGATACAGAAAAACACAAAAAATAATTGAAATTAATAGAAAAAAAAATAAAATAACAGATTTTGGAAAAAGGGGGAAGCTAAAAGAATTTGTCCTGTCCCCAAGTACCTATGGAAAAAATATGATGTGTCATACCATGGAAGTATCATATTGTCAATATCATACTTCCATGGTCATACTGATATCATCTGTCCAGATTGAATTTATAATATGGTGACTTCCAGCATAAAAGACAAATGTGTTATCTATAGATGATTTATCCTTTTAAATTACTACCCTTTGAATTAAATTTAACTAAATGTACATATATTATTTTAACTTAACATTAAAATCTAAACATCTATAATTTTCGATGACCATAAAGAATGTTGAGAAACACTAGACGAAAAGATAAATCCTCTGTTATGTTGAGCACTCATTTGTTGTGTTAACAAAATTTTTAAAAAAATGTAATAAATTGGAATTAGGTTTAATGTACATGATGTATAGAATGATGTAAACTTGTGATTTGTTTAAATATGAACTTTGATCGTCTATTATAACAAGTATTACTTATAATAAACTTTAACTTTAGTTACTTCCTAGATTCCAGAAACATGATTAAACTGTATATATAGTCTTTAATAAACAGTCTAAAGTATGATATTTCTCTAATATATATTAAATAAAACAATACTTATATGTTAAATTTAAGTATGCAATAATATAAGTTTACATTTGTATTTAATTCCCTGTGAAATTGTATCAATATTTATTGATCTTTCAATAAACTGCTAGCATTTCATATCATATGAAATAGTAATTACCTAGACTGTTATTTAAAATTAGGCTATATGCTTCAGTACATTAACTTCAAAATATTTACCTGATCTTGTCATTGTTAACTATTTAAGTAAAAAGGTTATTTAAAAGTTATTCAGTGATGGCATTACCACATTAATGTAACAGATCTGGAATTACCGTAATGTGAAAAATACACATGCTTGTCTGACTAAATGAATTAAAGAGGAACCAGAATTTTTGCTGCAATATATTGGTACAATACTACATAGATACCATACATATAATATTTTAAGAAAGATTTGTAAATATAAAGGTAGGTGAAAATTTGTGTACTAAAATATAATTGAATTTTTATATGCAGTATAAATATTTGCATTTTTAAAGTTGTGCTTTTAGAGACATAAAATTTAGGTATTCCAGATAAAAGAAATTATTAATTTTGGACATATTTTTGTAAGAATTATAACATGGTATAAAGTTTTGCCATAGAGAAAAATGTAAAATCACAAAAATACTGAACTCCCAAGGAAATTTAAAAAGGATAGTCCCTAATCAAATGGCAAAATCAAAAGCTCAAACACATCAAACGAATGGATAACAACTGTCATATTCCTGACTTGGTACAGGCATTTTCTTATGTAGAAAATGGTGGATTAAACCTGGTTTTAAAGCTAGCTAGAGACATTTAATAAATTTATCTTGGTCTTGTCTTGGAATATATATTGCCAAGGGAAATTTAACAACCATCAGTCAATCTTAACTTTTGTTTTAGTAAAAAGCTAGTAGCTATGGTAGCCTGATTAACAGTCTTCTACTGCATGTTTTTAGCCATCATCCTTCCTGTCAGTTATAACTTATATATCATGGTTATGAAAGTTATCAATAAAACATCAGTTTTGATGTGTACATTTCAGCCTAATACTTGAAATATTTAGCGATCATACTTTATTACACATTTAACCTTTTGAAACTTGTTTTATAAATTACTACATACATCTGTGTATATCTAAATATATACATGTACATGTATATGGTATATTAAAGTTAAGTATTTTTGAAACACACAATAGACTCATGTTTAGCCATTATGAATTTTGTCAGTTGCATGAAAAGTTCAGATGTCCGAAGTTTACTTTATGTTAAGTAATAATTTTCTTAACCTTTGATATTCATTTTATCCATCATGTTGATAGATACAAGTACTTTAACACATGGTGAAGTCTGTTATTGCATTGAATATTCCATACACATTACACAAACATGAAAAGGAAGTTTGTAGGAAATAATCGTAATTAAGATCTTAGATTTTTACACTGAAATTGTGCAGTTTTTATTAATTTGAAAGTTTGCTTATACAACAAGGAAGATTTTAGTTTGAAGTTAGCAAATAAGGAACTTATTGATAGTTCCTTGTTTCAGAATCTGATGCATTCTGGGTAATACTTTCAATAACTTACACCAAAACGTTGTGATTGGCTGACATTGTCTTAAACAATGGAATTTCAACCAACAATGAGTAATTTTCTTGTTTTAACACACTAAAATGGTGAAAAAAAATAGAAATATAAATATGTTTGCACTAATGCCTGTGGCTTGAAGACATATATGTTTATAAACATGATATATATATACAATGACCTATATTTTGTAATTATTATCAAATATTTTCGGACAGCTAAGTTTTCTGTGTTAGCGCAGGGTGTCTTTGAGTTTAAACTTTGGCCAAGGACAAGCTATTTTTTTCAGAAAGAAGGAAGTTCAGTAGTACATACATATTGTTACGATTTCTTATTCCTTCATTTTAGTTGAAATAACAGTATGTTCAAGATAACAGCCAAGTTTGTTCAGGCAACCCATGGGGGTGTACGGACCCTACAGAGAGGAATGCAGACCTACACAAGATATGCTTACTATTCATTGAATGATCGTAAAGGAACACAAGATGGGTCCATGTCTCAGAAACCATACCAGCCACGGTACAGTTTGGATTACGACAGACCAGAAGATTTTGTTAAATCTCAGGTAAAACAGACAGGTTGCTGTATTTATCAATGTAATACTTAACAGTCATCAAATTTAGCTGTGTTCTTCAGGCATTTGGCCGGCAAAAGTCTGTCCAGTCCGGTCAAAATTGGAATATTTTCAAGTAGACAAATAAATGATTTGAAGCTTCCAAATCAGTTTACATAAAAAATCTTATGAGGAGGACTGTATTTGATTTGAACAAGTATGAATAAAAGGTGATTTAGGGTACATACATTAATGAGACAGTGACCCAAAAAACAAAAAAATATGTATAGAGGGCCAAGTGCCACTGATTACATTTGTATTCCTCATTTATCCTTATTTTCTTATTATAGACTAAATGAAAGTTTGAGCTTCTTTGTCACGCCTAATTTGATGAAAACCAGTATATTTTGAAAACAAATAAAAAACAATTAGCCATTTATCATGTGTATTGTATCAAGATGTCTTTATTGTTGGAAAAGTAAAATACTTCACACTATGCCTGCCTTATTTTTTATACAAAAAAAAGATATTCTTTCTTTTTCATCTAAATAATATGAATTTTTCTTCTTCATCTCAAGTACTGTGTGAAATGTCCTACGAAGCTTTTAAAAGCCTTAATTCATGCACACTTATTTCAATAAAATAAAAAAAATCCTAGAAAATACTGCATGTACTTTTCCAACTTGAAAAAAAAGAAAAATGAGATGAAAATGGAATAATCATGGATATAAATTGAGCATGAGCCTGACCAAAAAATATAATGAGGATTATTTTTGAAGTTTTTTGTTTTCTTTACAGTGGTGCAAAAATCAAAATGACTCTGTCAACTATGCAATCTACAGAACGTTAGTGGCCTTGTACTTCCTGTTTGTGGTGATGTACTCGGCAATAGTTGGAACTCTCAAGATGAAGATGTTTATAATGTTAACTTACTGGTCTCTATATACCCTAACAGCATGCCAAGTCCTTAGGGCAGTAAATGTGTGGCATTACATCTCTCTGAAAAAGCAGAAGAAAGGTAATATTATACATTTATTTCCCGTGCCAGAGGGAGATTTGAAGATTTGTTCACCCAAGAATGTTCATATTTCACAAGGGCTCTGCCCGAGGGAAATATGATTTTTCGAGGGTGAGCAAATCTTCATATCTCCCGAGGCAAAGGGAAATGAATGTTTTATTCCACTGACTATGCTTTGTTTACTATCAATACATTAAATATTATTTTGCATACATTTTTTTCTTATCCGCTTGTCAGTTTTGTAAGTCAAACTAAACACGACATACCCATTGATAAACAGTAAGGATCAAAATTTAATTATAAGTCTTTTTGTTTTATCGTCTGAAACAAATTTGAAAATGATAATGATTTTTGCTATCGCTATTTTAAGAACAATAAGAAGTTCAAAACGTTATGTACATTAACCGTGCGTAACGTCGCACGAAGTAATCCCGACATTTCAGAGGGGAATATGATCCTCAGAATGGAATATGAAGATTTGTTCAATGACACGTGGGATAGTCTCAACCAATCAAATATTGATTAAACTACCAATATGTTTAAACAGTGGAATAATACCAATAATAATACTGTCGATTCATTTATTTTCATGGGTACCAATTTTGATGGATTGTGGAAAAATTGTGTATTTTATTTTTAGTGAATATTTGATTTCATGGTTTTGCCAAAGTCTGCATGCACACAAGCCTTTAGGAAATTTTTACACGTTGTACTTTGATTCACCTTTATCCACGAAATCCATGAAATTGGTATCTCACAAATAATACTGTAAGTTCAGAAATTATTGTGTGCATTTATTATCGCGATTTTTTTTAGAATGGATAAAAAAGTTGAGATTCATTATTGCGATTTCAGGAAACATTGCAAACAGATATATTCTATCAGATATTAAAATGCGAGTTTTTATTATTGCGATGCTTACTCAGTCGCATTAATAAAAACCTTGCAATAATTTCTGAATTTACAATAATGAATCTGTTCCGGACCATATGAGTATTTGGACCATATGAGTATTATACTCGTTTGGTTATTAATGGGCCGGACCATACAAGTATTTAGACCATATAAGTATTCTTCAAATAAATTCCTACTTCCTTCGCAGGAGCACATAGCTTATTCTACGAACCAAAAACGGCACAAGTTACTAACTGAATTCCTTTATCTTTTCATATTGTTTGAATCTTGGTGTATCTGTTACATGTATCTTGCCTTCGCTAGAATGAATCTAGAGTGTTTTATCTTGTCAACATTTTTGTTCCTAAGTGAAACCACAGACGTTTTGGGCAGGGACATTTTTAAAAAAATATTTTTTAGTGTTAAAATTATTATTTCAGAAACAAAATTTCTTCTATTCTCAACTTATTTTCTTCAATTATTGTGTTCTTTCTCATATTCATACGGTTTTTCTTTTCTTTTAAGATTGTATAAAAAGAAACAAGAATGCATTAAACAGATAAAACAATTTGAAATATCAAAGAAATTTTGATTTAATAAAAACACCAAAAGAAAATAAAAAAAAAAAAAAAAAGAAATCAGTGTCCAATGTCCAAAGTTTCTGTGAGTTAAGCAATTGACCTCTTGTTTAACAGTTAATTTAGATATTTCTTGAAGTTATTTTCATAAGTCGACATATTGCGTTTCGTACAAATTTATGGACAAATCATTAATGACCTTGTAAAAATTATTTTACTATAATTCTAACTTGAAAGTAAAATTCACTTTATTTCATTTATCATGTAATAATGATTAAAATATGATTGAATAAGTAAAAATTTCATATTTAGACACTCTTAATTTATGGGACACCTTTTCATTGTTTATCGTGTTCATTAAACGGACCATACGCGTATGGTCGGACCATATGAGTATATACCCATATGGTCATGACCATACACATATGGTCCAAATACTCATATGGTCCGGAACAAATCCACTGCAGACACAAACTTGAAAAGAACTTAACATGTCTGAGGTAAAAAGAGCTTTGAAATTTATCTTTATCAACATGATCAAAGTTACTACAAAGTTTTTAAAAATCTTAGTATGTTTTATGCCAGTTATTGTCATAGGTAACAAAATAATGAATTCAATATGATTTGTGATATATACCAATTTTTGTGATTTATATGAGGGTGTGGATGGGGGTTTGCAGAATAGAGAATAATGGGGAAAAAATATAAAGAATAGAGAAAAATGAACCAAAAAAGAAAGAATAGAGAATAATGAGGTGCTTAAATATAAAGAACAGAGAAAACTGGGCAAAAAGTATTAAGAATAGAGAAAAATGGCCTAAAAAATTAAAGAATACAGAAATGAAGGACCCATGATGTTACATAGTTAATTCATCATCACACTCTATGGTCTTCAGGGAGATAAAGTCTCAGTGTGATTTTGTAATTGATAACATGTGAACTGTTTTAATAAATAATTTAATGCTAAAATTTATGTGCAAATTTATTAGCTCTAATGAATTCCAGTATCATTGTTTATTGTGATAAAGTGTAGATTCAGTACATTAATCCTATTCTGATATGAGTTAAATTTTAAATCTTTCCATTACGCTCAATATATTTCATCATTGTTCAATTCTTTTTCTTATTTATACAGTAACACTGTATTTTTTATATATTTAAACCGCACACTAGCTGGGGTATATAGTTTTTGACCTATCCAACTGTCATCTTGGTGTCTGGATGGTATCAAATACTTTATATCAGATTCCAACTTTACATTGATATATGGTTAAAAATAATGAAAGGAAGATCTTTATTGGTGTTGAGGTCACAAGGGTCAGGGGTCAAGGTCATAGTTGCTAATAAAATAGACAGTGATTTTGTGCAGGAAAGTTGTTTCTGGATGCTTAATCAAATGCTATATATTGGATTTCAACCTTACCATGGAATATGGTCACATAAAATGAGAGGAAGATCCCTATTGATGTTGAGGTCATTACCTCTTAGGTCAAGGTCATAATTACTAAAATAAACTCAAAAATATGAAGCCATACATTACATAATAAGCAAAAAAAAAAGATGACCCTCATCTTGCTAGATTGTTGTCTCATGGATATATAACCAGAATTAATAGATACTTTCATGTTTATTTTCCAGAATTGCAGATGATAAAAAGATTGAAGTGGCAGTGGACTTTGTATAACATCTCAGTAGGTACAGCACCAATAGTAGCTACATTATATTGGGGTATAGCTTATGATGGTGAGTTGGATTCATCAAGTCTTTTCATAAAATATGATATAAAAAATTAAATGTGATTTCAGAACTAATGGTTATTGGCAAAAGTTTTTTTGTTAAAATTCAATTTAACATAGATATACATCTGCAGTGTCAGTTTGCTCAGAAAAAAAATGTCTTTGCTAATCCATGCGCAAGACAAGGAAATTATGACAAAACATTTAAAGGCAGCTGGAGGTTCTAAAATGAAATCAAATATAAAAACATAAAAACTTGGTCAAAATGTAGTTTTTGTCTCCCCTGTGACGAAAGTCAGCGACACTGTTGTCTGCAGTGTCAACAATTGTTAAGTTTTCTCCTTAAGTCAGTTTGATAGGAACTACTTGTGATATTTTTTACATATCAGTATGACGACTATTTGCTCTGCCCCCTAGTTTTTTTCTGAATTTTTGCCGACAAGCGGGACATATATCTGTGTCAACAGATTATAACAGGAAGTACATGCACATCCCCTAAAAATACCCTCCAAAAAACGAACAAATTTACTTTAAAAAAAAAAAGCAGTAACCATTTTCATGATATAACGAGTTAAACATTCATGTATAATTTTCTGTTCTTTCAGGATCTGGATATAATTTCATCAATGTAAACACACATGGAGTCAATGCTGCATTTATCCTGTTAGATACATTCATAACCAGAATGCCTGTCAGACTACTCCATGTTTACCAGAGTTGGTTGTTTGGGTTTACTTACATAATATTTACCATAATTTACTGGTTCTTCGGAGGATTAAACCAGTTTGGTCAACCATTTATTTACTCTGTTCTAAATTATGGGCGGTCACCGAAAACAGCATTAATATATATAATGGCTATAGGTTTTATAGTTTGTCCATTAATACACAGCTTTGTATTTTTTCTGTACAGATTCAGGGTGTTTATTCATAGATATTTGACCACTATGGATAAAAGAGAAGCACTCGTTCATAACAGGGAAAAATAGACTTCAGTATTATATATTATATTTTTTTCTAGTTTGTCTTTCACACGTATATTTCTATAATGCTCAAATTGGAGCTATGCAATTGCTCATATTGAAGCTACATACTTGCCTTAGCTATTATTTTATTTGTTTTTGTTTAGTCAATATAAATGTTATTGTTCATGTTCATCTAAAGACATGTTTAAAAATCAAATGAATTGAATCATTGTAGAATTAGAAGATCTGTTTAATATAGTGGTTTGCTGTGAGTAAGGAGTAATTTTTGGTTCGTTTAGGGATGGAAAATCCAATTCATTTTTGTGTTAACATTTTCATTACAATAATTGTAGCCATTTTCAGCTGCAGTATAAAAACACTATATTAGGTCAATGTCAGAAAAAATATCAACTTTTTTGTATTTGTCACAAAACAGTTAGGGGCTCAGTAAACCTTCCCAAGATTCTGAGTCTCATACAAAAATTTTTATATATTTTTAACATTGACCTAAATTTTATATTTATTTTTCACTTCATGCTAAGGTTGCATTACATAGTAATTCATCCGTCAGTCCCTTTGTTTTTCCTTGGTACATACATCACAGATATTTTTCTATCTCTTGGTTTCTCAGTTGAATCTCGTTATTTATTTATTTTTTTCATATTAAGAACAAGAGATTTTTTTTTCATAAGACCAAGAGTGTTTTTCATAAGAAGTTTATCATTTTGTCATGCATGAACTATTGTAATAAGTATGCCATTGTTTTTATTGAAATTCCAAAATATGTATGCTCAGTATAATTTTGTGTTATGTATTGTGCCAATTTCTACCAATATACCAGAATTCTGTTGAATTATTTTTGTTTTTCTAAACTTCAAAAAATAACTTCTGTCTACTACAGGTAATTAAATAAAAACAAAAATAAGTACCTCTTCAATGTCTATTTCTGAAAAAACAGCACATATTAATTTTGCACTTAACCAATGGCCTTATAAAGTTAGACTGTTTAAACTATATGTTTTGCAATAACTAAGCTGGTCTTTTTTTTATATACAATTCAATGCAATTTATGTAGTTGTCATTCCTGTGTATGAAATTTTTATATTATAGTATTGTCTGTTATATTTTACCATTATTTTTTTTATACATAGGTATGTAGTATGATGTGTAAAAATGATAATCTTATTTTGCTTATACTAGAAGGTCTTCTCGCAAAAAAACTCATGACAATAATGATCACAGGTTATATACTCTTTTGTCAAGAATTTACAGCAATTATTCCCTGGCTTATATATTTTTTTATGAAAAGATTAATAAATTTTATATTTAGAAAGGAAATATGCTAAAGTCTAAAATAAGTTTGAAACTAGAGTTCCTGGACATAATAAAAAATTATTATTGAATAGACATCCATGAAATTGAGGATACAAGAGTGATTTGAATGATGTTTTTTTTTAACAATATTCATTTTGACAAGAAATAAGTGATAATTACTGTTGAAGGAATTCGATAAAACAGCTTTCATCAAATGCAAGAAGGGAGATAACTCTTTTCTGAACTTTATTGAAATGGATGCTTAAAAATCCATGAATTGCTAATTTTGAATTAAAAATAATGGTCATCTGTGAGGGAACCATGATCCCCAAGTGCAATTGGCCAATGGAAATATAGTTTGGCACTGCAACAAACTTTCTGTGCATAATATTTTTTCAATCAAATATTTGTTTCTGAACAATAGCTTCATGTTTGTGCAAGAAATAAATTTGATTAAATTAAAACTTATGTAAATCTTTATCAAACTGCTCCTACAATAATAATAATAATACTTTATTCAGAAGCAATACAGCTTATCGAACATACATTTTTACATCAAATTTTAAATGCATCAGTGTAATATTAATAACAATAATTATACAAAATACACATATGGCGGAGAATGACAATAAATTCATATGATAAATAAGGAATAAAACTACAAAATGTATGTATTACAGATTTTTTCGATGTTGAACAAAAATTTACATAAATTATTAAGTTCTTTCACATTGTGAACTGATAACAACTGTATAAGTTTAAAAGTTGATGGTTTTTGCCAATAATATTTCTTTAATATATTGTTTTCTTATATCACTATATCTATTACATTCTAAAATAAAATGGTATTCGTCTTCAACAATATTGCTATTGCACATAGTCTATTTTCTCTATCTACATTGTAATATTTGCCTATCTCAATATTGAGGCTATGGGCAGAGATACGATATTTATATATATAAGGTTTATATATTTGATTAACAGGTCTACAAAGATTAGACTTAAATTTGAAGATTGAACAAAACTAGTGATCTGGTTTATTTATTGATTTCTGAAGCAAGCTGAACAGAATGAATGACCTTTTAGTTGACATAGTCAGATGATACTGTTTTTTCATTCCTGGTTATTTTTATATATAAGTATTGTTTATTTATGGTTTGACCAAGATATTCATATTTGGGATGGCTGTTTAATATATATATAGAGCTCATTATAGAAATGTTTTGCCAAAATCAAATGTTATTGAATTTTTTTCAAATTAATCATGGTGCTGTGTTTTTTAAAAGAACTAAACTTCTCATGTTGAATCATTTTTATTTCCCTGTTCATCATATTTGGCATGCATTGTTTTGACTCATTAGATTTCATTCAAGATTTTTCATCTTTCGTGTATTGCTGATTTATAACACGCAAGTTTTTGTACATTTCCTACTATTAATGCACTGATTTAAAGGAAATATGATATACATGTTATTTTTTAACCCTTTTTGCTTAATACAACAAAAGTTTGTCATAGATCTTGAAGGTGTTTTTTTTACAATGGGATGAAGTTACTTGTAATTTTATAAATTCAAAATCATTAACAAGCAATGAAAACTTATAAGTATTGTACAAGTTGCAAAACTGTTTTTCTTTATTATAAAGCATTTGTAGTTAGTAGTAAGAGTACATTCCTGTATTTTTGCAGTTTTATAAATTAAACTTTACACAGATCATTCATGCTTCCATATTTCTAAATAAATATAAAATCATTTTGCATAATGAACAAAATTTCATTTGTGATGGCCATTATAAAAATGTGATATTTAGGAATCAATTAAAATGAGATATTTTGTGATTGTTTGTTTTTTCTTTTGAATATTAATAAAAGAAGATGTGGGGTATAGATTATTGAGATAGCAACCCAATGACAAAAATAACCAAAAGACATCAAGAGGGCAACATGGTCTTTAATAATTACAGTAAACATTGAGATATGACATAAAAACAATTGCTGACGAGGTTCCTGACTTGGGACAGGCACATGAAAGGTGGTAGGACAAAACTTTAACTAGAGGCTCTAAAGACTGTGTTGCTTACCTAGGTCTACAAGCATCTAAAACAATGGAGTCTCTCCAAAATTGTAGACTAGAAAAGAAATCATGACAAAAATCTTGTTATGGCCCCGCAATAAACTTGTCAGGCTATATAGTTTTACTTTTATCTGTTCCGTCATTCTGTCATTCCGTAACAAACAGGTATACAAACTTTTTTCTAAACACCTTCACATATTGAGCTGAATTTTAGTATATGAGTCTACTATGATGAGTAACAGATTGAATTTACATTTGGTTCCGCTCTGCTGATTTTTGCCAAAATTACAGGCTTTGGACTTTGAAAATTTCATAAAAAAAGCAGTTATAGGGACTTTCTTATACCGCCGCAAAAAATTTTGCGTTCGTATTATGGTATGGCGATGTCTGCGTCGTCGTCCGAAAATATTTTGTTTCGCAGACAATAACTTGAGTATAAGTATTTGGATCTCTATGAAATTTTAGCAAAAGGTTCCATACCACAATAGGAAGGTTGGGGTTCCTTTGGGGGATTATTGTCATAGCTGTTTAGTAATAAGGGACCAAAAACAAGCATTTTCTTGTCGTCCGAAGACATTTTGGTTCACAGACAATAACTTGAGTATAAGTGTATGGATCTTTGTGAAATTGTAGCACAAGGTTCCATACCTCAATAGGAAGGTTGGGATTGATTTTGGAGGTTATTGTCATAGCTGTTAAGTAATTAAGGGCCAAAAAGGGGCAAAAAACAATATTTTTTATTGTAGTCCGAAGACATTTTAGTTCGTAGACAATAACTTGAGTATAAGAGTGTGGATCTGTATGAAATTTATGCACAAGGTTCCATACCACAATAGGAAGGTTAGGATTGATTTTGGGGGTTATTGTTGTAGCTGCTAAGTAATTAAGTGCCAAAAACATGCATTTTTCTGGTTTGCAGACAATAACTTGAGTTTAAGTGTATGGATCGCTATGAAATTTTAGCACAAGTTTCCATACCACAATAGGAAGGTTGGGATTGATTTTGGTAGTTATTTTCGAAGCTGTTTAGTAATTAGGGGCCAAAAACAAGCATTTTTCTTGTTTCAGGACATTAACATGTGTATAAGTATGGATCTCTATGAAATTTTGCCACAAGGTTCCATATGAAAATGGGCCAAAAAAAAACTAGGATTTTCTGGTTTCTAGACAATAAGTTGAGTATAAGTGTATGGATTTTTTTTAATGCTCCTGTCGTAGCGGAGGGGGCATTAAGTTTTACCCTTGTCTGTCTGTACGTCCCATAATTGGTTTCCATTCTCTAACTTTAGTTTGCCTCAACCAAATAATATGAAACTTATACACAAAACACAGATCAAGTTTGAATTTTGGTGGTGTCACTTTTACCATTCTAGAGTTCTGCCCCTTTCCAAATGGAAAAATTGCAAAATTTTTCGTTTCTGTTCTCTAACTTTAGTTTGCCTTAATCAAATGTTATGAAACTTATACGCAATGCTAATTACCACAAAATACAGATCAAGATTGAATTTTGGTGGGGTCACTCTAACCGTTCTAGAGTTATGCACCTTCATAAATGGAAAAATTGCAAAATTTTTAGTTTCCGTTCACTAACTTAAGTTGCCTCAACCAAATGTTATGAAACTTATACACAATGCTTTTAACCACAAAACACAGATCAAGTTGAATTTTGGTAGCCTCACTTTAATCTACTAATATTTCATTGATTTGTTAAAACAAGATTATAGCAACATTCATATTGTAAAAAAAAAACAGTAAACAAATTGCATAATATTTATATATATGTAAAACTGATACTTTTTTTTTCAATTTATAAGAGGAAGATTTTCAGTACCAAAATCAATAATATGCATTTGGAAAAAAATTGTAAGCTCATTCCAATTTAAAAAAAAAAACAGTTGGCTGAGAATGAATATCCCTGTATGATATTTATTGACTGCTTTGAAATACAAAATGTACAATACCACCTCTCCTTATATTGATAATGGTACTGGTATCAATAAATTGGTAAATAAATTTGAAGTAAGCATAGAATGAATCTCTTGCCCTGGAAATATTTTCCTCATTGAAATCTGATAAACATTCCAATTTCATTCATAAACTCAAATTAGCAAATGTAATTGATTTTTATGCCCCCACCGTAGCGGAGGGGGCATTAAGTTTTACCCTTGTCCTTCTGTACATACGTCAGTCTGTCCGTACGTCCCAAAATTGGTTTCCATTCTCTAACTCTAGTTTGCCTCAACCAAATGTTATGAAACTTATACACAATGCTTATTACCACAAAACACAGATCAAGTTTGAAATTTGGTGGTGTCACTTTTACCGTTCTAGAGTTATGCCCCTCTACAAATGGAAATATTGCTGAATTTTTCATTTCCGTTCTCTAACTTTAGTTTGCCTCAACCAAATGTTATGAAACCTCTGCACAATGCTAATTACCACAAAACACAGATCAAGTTCCAATTTTGGTGGCGTCGCATTCACCGTAGAGTTATGCCCTTTTGCAAATGGAAAAATTGCTAAATTTTTCATTTCCGTTCTATAACTCAACTCAACTAAGTGTTATGAAACGTATACACAATGCTTATTACCACAAAACTCAGATCAAGTACAAATTTGGGTAACATCACTTTTACAGATTTTGAGTTATGTCCCTTTATAACATTATATGCAAGCGGGGGCATCTTCGTGTCCCATGGACACATTTCCCATTTATTTAATTGTGCCACAAGGTTTTATGCCATAAAAGGAAGGTTGGGATTGATTTTGGGGGTTATGACCCTAAACAGTTTAGAAAAAAGGGCCCAAAAACAAGACTTTTGTAATACTTTGTATTAATTGCTTATTTCTTGACAATTTTAATGGGGTTTAATTCAAAGTCTTGAATTGGTGGGGTTCTTTAATATGCTGAATCTAACCCTGTATTTAGAAATTGGATTTTGGGCCGTTTGTGAATTGGTCCATATTAAGGTCTAAAAGGGTCCCATTATCAAATTGGTCCACAGGGTCCAAAATTAAACTTTGTTCATAAAAAAATTGAATTCTTGGGGTTCTTTGATATGCTGATTCCAACCATGTATTTAGATTTGGATATTGGACCATAATTGGTAAATGTCCAATTTTAAAATTATTTAAGTACTTAGACCACATACACCACCATGGCCAAAAGAAAGAAAAAGACAAACAACAGTACACAAAACAACATAGAAAACCAAAGACTGAGCAACACGAACCCCACCAAAAACTGGGGGTAATCTCAGGTGCTTTGGAAGGGTATGCAGATCCTGCTCCACATGTGGCACCCGTTGTGTTGCTCATGTAAGTACAAATCCGGTGATATGTCTAATTTTGTAGGTCACATTCGGGGGGAGGGGACAAGATTGTAGTTACGACTTGTGGTGTCATCCGTAAAATTTACGAAGGGATGATTTCAACTTCACCACTTTGAACTATTGGTTTAATAGCTTCCTTGTGAGCAGAAACCCTCTATCAAGGAAATCATGATAGGAAACACAAGCTCTGGAATATTGTATCCAACTGGGAGATATATACTCCAAATGCACTTGCTGCTAGAATGTTGCTACATAGAAATGGAAAGTTCACAATTGGGAAGCTGAAATCATCTCTTTTGTCGTGAAGTTTTGTTTTCAACTGACTCTCATTGTCAATTTCTAGATGTAAGTCAAGATATGACACAGACTTAACTGTATCTGTTGTATCTTTTATTTCAAGTTCGATAGGATAGATGCGTTCAACATAGGTCACCAAATTTCGAATTAGTTATTGAGAGAACATTATCTATATAGCGGAAAGTGAAATTAAAGGATACTGCTTACTTCTTTTCTTTCTTACTAAGAAGTTCCTGTATGAAGTGATATGAATAAAGGAACAAGTCGACAAGAAGAGGAACACAGTTGGTTCCCATGGAAATGCCGATTGTTTGTTGAAAAACACAAATATGTTGTCAATCTTGAAAACCTTAGCTCATATTGTCCATTAAAAATAAATATAACATCATATGATTATTTAATTTAAGAGAAGAAGTATGGTTTGAAATTTACTGTTCATTATTAGATTATAAAATGGTTAAATAGAGCTATAAATCTGTCATCCCATGCTGATACAAGGACAGATAAATTAACTTACCGGTAATAAACAAATGTTTAAAACAAAAACCTGAGTTTGTTAATATGGAGAGATGATTTTGTCCAGTTTCTGATATTACCACTCCAGGACAGGAACAATGAAGTTAATTAAAATTTTGTTTATTTCAACATTTTAATAACTATATAAATCATGGATGTTGAATATTAAAATGAATAAAGGAAAGTTTGTGATGTATTAATTCCCTACACATTAGCTAATGTGTGTATTTATTTGAATGTTTTGTAATTCTTTGTTTGTTATATTTCAATGTATTTCATTAGGGCCTCAGGAAAGATTAGTTTTACAGCTAACTGTGTAACCCTCTTTAAATAAAGAATTATTTTTACATGTATTAGTATTATTATATTAAAAAAATTGAAAAATTTTATTTTTCTTCCTATGAAAACTACACACAATTTGTATTACATATTTACATTTGTAATTATAACAAGGAATTAATTAAATCTAGAATAATCTTGAATTCTTGAAAATTGATAAGAAATATTTGATGAAGATTAACCCAATCTAGGAGGGTTAGCCATGCATGCATGGCTAGGGGGGTAAGTTAGTTCATACTGAAATATCAGTGAAAGTAAAATTAACCTTAGCCATGCACGCA